GGAACAACGTATGCTGTTATGCGGTTTGACCGATAAAGATCTTCGTAGAATATGTAGGAACCAATATGAGCATCCAGGTTCCGGTATTGGTTATTGACCGGAGACGTGTCTCGGTCATGTCTACATAGTTCTCGAACCCGTAGGGTCCGCACACTTAAAGTTCGGTGACGATTGTAATTAGGGTTTTTGTGTTTTGATGTACCAAAGGTTGTTCAGAGTCCCGAATGTGATCACGGACATGACGAGGAGTCTCTAAATGGTCGAGACATAAAGATTGATATATTGGAAGCCTATATTTGGATATCGGAATCGTTCCGGGTGAAATCGGGATTTTACCGGAGTACCGGGGGGTTACCGGACCCCCCCCCCGGGGGTTAATGGGCCTACATGGGCCCTAAGGGAGAAGAGGAGGGCCGGCTAGGGCAGGCCGCGCGCCCCCTCCCCCCCTAGTCCTAATAGGACAAGGAAGGGGGGTACGCCCCCCTTTCCTCTTTCCCCCTTCCCCTTTCCTTCTCCAACAAGGCAAGAGGGGGGAGTCCTACTCCCGGTGGGAGTAGGACTCCTCCAGGCGCACCCCTAGAGGCCGGCCGCACCTCCCCCCTCCCTTCTTTATATACGGGGGCAAGGGGGCACCCCATGAGACACAAGTTGATCTTCGTGATCGTTCCTTAGCCGTGTGCGGTGCCCCCTTACACCATATTCCACCTCGGTCATATCGTAGCGGTGCTTAGGTGAAGCCCTGCGACGGTAGAACATCATCACCGTCATCACGCCTTCGTGCTGACGAAACTCTCCCTCAACACTCGGCTGGATCGGAGCTCGAGGGACGTCACTGAGTTGAACGTGTGCAGAACTCGGAGGTGTCGTACATTCGGTACTTAGATCGGTCGGATCGGGAAGACGTACGACTACTTCCTCTACGTTGTGCCAACGCTTCTGTTGCCGGTCTACGAGGGTACATAGACAACACTCTCCCCTCTCGTTGCTATGCATCACCATGATCTTGCGTGTGCGTAGGAATTTTTTTGAAATTACTACGTTCCCCAACACCCAAAGCCTCAATATTTGTTTCATTATTCCAAAACATAACCACTACAAGAAATATGTCAACTTATGACCTTCTCTTAGTGACCCCAGCTGAATTGGTCGTAAATTCATGGCCATTTCGCTTGGAAGGGCTCAAACCCTGAAATTGCTTACACCAAATGGTCACAAAGCAGACAAGAGGCGCCAATGACCTTATTTCTACCTAATTACGACCAATAGAAATGGTCATGAGGTTGTGAACATGGATGCATTGGTACTTATTGCTATGACAAGGCGCCACCTCATCAGTTTTGCCTATGTGTCATGTCCATGTGTCAATTTTTGCCCTAGGTTGTAAAGCAACCTATATTTCTGTCATTCCCAAAATTTCCAAAAAAATGGGCATTCTTTACTATCCAAATCATTGCCTCATGATAATATTCAACTCCATTTGACTGGTAAATCTTCCTCGGCAAATTTCCAAAGTTTTTGTTTAGCTCGAACTGTTGTGAAGGAAGTACTGGCTAGGCATATCCTAATGAGCTGAATTTTTTCCACATCTTCTATATTCCCAAATCATAGCTCTCCACAAAATTTGAGCCCCATCTAACAATACATGTGAGTGTGGCTTCAACATTCATATTTTAGTCCAGTTTGGTATGTTGCAAAGCAAGTGACACTTAGGCTCCTCCATTTGAGCTGCAACTTTTCCAAGATAGTGTCCTTAGTAGATGATCATCCTCGGCCAAAACTCAGGCCCATTGGCCATGTGCATTTCCCGTACCACTAATCAAACACTTGGGTGATAATTCATGTTTGAGCTCGGTTCAGTCTCCTCGTGAGATTCTTCTATTGCCTTCTTCTTCCCGACACCTATCAGGGGAGTGCCCAACCCACTAGACATGCCTAGGCCGCCCGGAACGCGTGGCAACACAACAGTCACGCGGTGACCACGCGGCGGGCATGCGAGTCTACACGCTTTGGAGTTGGGGCCCTGGGCCACCATCCAAACCTCAATGTATCGCCACCAAACCATGTATTTCTGATTAAATAGATATTTTTCTACCTAGAAATAAATTTTTTTTAAATAAAGAGCAAACTATGAGGCAGCTGCAGTTCAAATTTGTCCCGCTTCCTACTGAATCAACAGAAATTTGTCTTTTTCACCAGGGGTGGATAAAAACTTTTAGCACCCAACCATTTTGTCAATTGTACATTAAACATGGCCTAGTGTTTTATAAAATTGATTTGGTCCAATTTTGCAACAAATATATGGTAGGTCCTTCACAAAAAAAACTCATTTTAGGCACTCAAAAAATGGAGATTTGATTTTTCGTCCAAAGAAAATGAAAACTCCCTTAGGCAACATTATTTGACATTCCAATATGCACCCTTGTGCACAATATGAGATCATTTGAACAAACTATGCCATGAATGTGGCCATAAGATTGATCATTTCGCTTGAAAGCCATGAATCTCCACACGTTATAGCTCGTTTCTGAGAACACTTTTTTAAAATAATTGCCATATTACAAGTTTGTTATTTTTCCTGGGAACTTGGCCACATATAATGACACAATGCGAAGGTTTCCCAATTTTTTGATTTTTTTTGAATTTTTTATGCCCGTTTCAAAATGCGGTCAAAACGACGGGAATGACTGTTCCTAGCTAGTGGTTGAATCTTGAATTTTTTTGGTGTTTCTTTGATTAAATAGATACTTATGTACCTAAAAATGATTTTTGGAAAAAATAAATAGCAAACTATGAGGCAGCTGTAGTTCAAATTTGACCCGCTTCCAACCGAATCGACGGGAATTTGTCTTTTTCACGAGAGGTGGATCAAAACTTTTTATACCCAACCATTTGGTCAATTGTGCATTAAATATGTTCTAGTATTTTTAGAAAATTGATTTGGTCCAATTTTGCAACAAATTTATTATAGGTCCTTCACAAAAAACTTATTTTGGGCACTCGAAAAATGGAAAATTGATTTTTTGTGCAAAGGAAATAAAAACTCCTCAGGCAACATTGTTTTCCATTCCAAGATGAACCCTTGTGCACAATATGAGATCATTTTAACAAACTATGCCATGAATATGACCATAAGATTGATCATTTGGCTTGAAAGTCATTGATCTCCACACATGATAGCTCGTTTCTGAGAACACTTTTCTAAAATAATTATCGTATTACAAGTTTATTGTTTTTCCTGGTAACTTGGCCACATATAATGACACAATGCGAAAGTTTTTCAATTTTTTGTTTTTTTTTAATTTTATGCCCGTTTCGAAATGCGGTCAAAACGGCGGGCTTAACCGTTCCTAGCTAGTGGTTGAATCTTGAAAAACTTTTGATATTTTTCTAATTGAATAGATACTTTTGTACCTAAAAATGATTTTTGGAAAAAATAAAGAGCAAACTATGAGGCAGCTGCAGTTCAAATTTGACCCGCTTCCAACTGAATCGTTAGAAATTTGTCTTTTTCACGAGAGGTGGATAAAAGCTTTTGACACCCAACCATTTGGTAAATTGTGCATTAAATATGACCTACTATTTTAGAAAATTGATTTGGTACAAATTTGCAACAAATATATGGTATGTCCTTCACAAAAAAAAACTCATTTTAGGCACTCGAAAAATGGAAAATGATTTTTTCATTCAAAGAAAATGAAAACTCCCTTTATCAATATTGTTTGCAAATCCAAGATGTAAAATTGTGCAAAATATAATACCATTTGAACAAATATTTGATAGGACTTTCACAAAAAACTCATTTTGAGCATTGAAAAATGGAATGAAATTTTTATCTTGAATCGATTACGACCAATTTATATGGTCATAAGGTCATCAAATAATTTGCTGCGTTCTGATTAGTCCATGTGCATATTACGCGGATCATGCATCAACCGTCATGGGATGTTTCCGGATCCAACAGCAGCCCTCGTCCCCTCACCCTCTCACCCAACCGCAGCCCAACTACCCAAACCCTAACTCAGATCCCCTCCTCTCTCTCCCGATCCACTCCCGCCGCCGCCGCCTCTCCCCCGCCCCCAAATCCACCCTCACGCCGCCGCCGTCCCCCGCACCCCCGCCCCTCCCCAGAGTTTCTCGATCCAGCCCCGCCC